GAGGAGGGACTCCTTACAGATTTGGCTGAGGATGGCTGCAGGGGCTCAGAGTCACTTGGTGCAGCCAAAACAGATATCTTCTGGAGTTGCTTTGAGGTGTCTGACGCAGTTGTGGCCAACTGCAAGGCATTTGGGGCAGCCACGGAAGAAAAAAGAAAAATAAATAGAAGTTCCTCTTGGAGAGCATTAGGCTTCATCTCCTATTTTAAGAGTGAGATTTTTCCAGATCAGAGGATGGTCACGTTTAAGGCATCTACAAAGACCTTGTGGAGCTCGATCCTGGTCACAATGAGGAGGCACAGGTCCCTTCTCCTTTGGCCCCATGTTCTCTCACAATAGGGAGAAGTTGGTACATTCCTGCCCCTCCATGCTGTCTCTCATCTCTGCCTCCAGTCTTAGTCTTTTTGTTCCTATAATAGAATACCTGAGCCTGAGTGATTGATAAAGAAATGAGGTTTACTTTGACTCACAGTTCTGGATGTCGAAAGCACAGTGCCAGAATCTTCTCTGCTTCTAGTGAGGGCTTCCTGCTATTAGACTCATGGCAGAAAGCACTGAGGGCAGCCTTGCTTTATGACAACTTACTCTCTTGGTAATCAATCCAGTCCCGAGTGAGCAAGAACGCACTCCCTCGAGAAAAAGTGTTAGTCCATTCAAGAGGGCCCCACCCCATGACCCAGGCCCCTCCCACTAGGCTCCACCCCCCAACATTGCTGCACAGAGGAAGTGAACCTCTGGGCCACACCTCCAAACTACAGCGCCTTCCTGTGAGACCCTGGCTCCCACACACTCATGGTCACTTCCCAAACCCTGCACAGATTTCCCGGCCTTGTGTTGAACTCCCTCTCTCTAGTAAGAGGTACTTACTAGGGGAAACTAGTTTAATCCTGGGATAGAAGGCTGGCCCAGGGGTGCTACATTTTGACATGAGGAATGAATCTTTAATGGTGGCATTTCAGACATAAATCAGAAGACGGGATGTGAGGAATGGAGATTAAAAATGACCTTGTCTGTCTGATTACCTGGTCTTGCTACTAAGCAGAAGAAATTAATTGTGGAAAACAAATTAATAAAGGAAAGAAAGCAAGATTATATCAAAGACAACACACATCAGTGAGTTAAGAATCATTGGCACTTCCAGAATTTGTGTATTTGAAGAGAATAGGGGCCTAGCTAGGTTGAAGAGTCATCCTTGAAGGTGCTTTTAAGTGACTTTTATTTAAAATTTTGATTAAAATGTTAATTGTCCCCATTAAAGAATGGGGTAAGATAGTCGATGGAGATTACTGAAAGATGTTAAACCATTCCCCAACTTTCCTGACCTGGTGCTCCCCATTTACAAGCAGGTAACATATTTATTGAGCATCTAATTTTGCAACATTCATTAAATCTTTCTGAAATATAAATATGCAATTTCTTCACATACAGTATTATATGAACTTCTTTTTCCATTTGGAAAGATATAGTAGAATAGTGGAAATCATCTCCAACATTTGTGAATGACATTAACACATTACTCCTAAGTAGGAGAGTATTAGGTCATTTTCCATTACTATAGCTAAACTCCTGAGCCTGGCTATTTTACAGAGAAGAGTTTTATTTAGCACATACCTTTGGAGGCCACAAATCCAAGAGCAGGCAGCCCTATCAATTCAGGCTCTGGTGAGGCCCCTCGGCACATCCCATCAAGGTGGCTGTTGTTACCACAGCAGGCAAGGGAGGCACAAAGGAAGACAGGAAGTCCAAGAGATTCAGGGTCGGCTCACTTTTAAAACAACTCTCTCTCTCAAGAGCTAATGAGGGTCTTGCGCGAAGGCCATCAGTTCCTTCTGTGGGCACTGTCCCCTATGGTCTAATCACTTCCCGGTCACCTGCACCTCAAAGACTCTATGCCACCTTCCAACACGGCCTCACAGAACCAAGCTCCTGACATGGGAGCTCTTGGGGACATATTCAGCCCATAACCAAAGCACAGTAAAGAAAAATCTAAGTCACTTGATCTTTCCATACAGTTCAATCATGAAGCAGTGAAAAAACAAATCTCCTTAGGAATTTTTCTCAGATCTGAAATCATCATACTTCTTTTACACAGTCTTATAAACATATTCATCCGATTGTCTCATTTACATCCATTCATGGATTCTGTATAGACACAGAAACCTTTATTCCACTCTGAAATATAGCCACTTACCTACAGGTGCTATGTAATCACAGAAACACAGAACGCACCTCCTGGTATGACCCCAAGAGCACACAGATTCATGTTTTTTCTATCTGTGTACTTATACATGCACCTTGATAACAAGACCATAACAGAATAGTTGATGTAGGAAAAATATTAATCAGAAAGGGACCCTATTTTCAAATATTTCTACCATAAAAAGAACCACTAAAAATGGTTTGGAGGCACATGTGGCGACGCATGCCTGTAATCCTAGCTACTCAGGAGTCTGAGGCAGGAGGATCACAAGCTCCAGGCCAGCCTGGGTAACTTAGCAAGACCTTGTCTCAAAATAAAATTTAAGTTGGGGATGTAACTCAGTGGTAGAGCATGTGTGGCCCTGGGTTTGGTCCCTAGTCGTCCAAAGAGGAGGGGGCAGGGGACTGAGCATTATATCTCTGCATGTGGTAAATTATAAAGTGACATCCTGAGTTTTCACTGGCCCAAGTGATTCCCTGATCTTGCCCAACTCCTCCACGAATACACGAGGTGAGGAGGCCTGCCCCCAGTCACACCAGGACCAAGCACAGCTTCTTCAGGCTGGTGAGAGGCTGGGGACTCTAGGCAGTCAGCTCTTTGTTGACCAAGGACTTTGTATCGCAGATTTAAAACAGTGTGTGGCATGGAACACACAGTCGGAAGACGATGGCCAGAAGATGATCCAGGCTTTGGACTGGTGCTTCTGCTAGATGTCTTGGGAACTGAGGCTCTGGGTAAATTCAGGCCATGCCTTCGGAACCGTTCGTGACCAGTTAGGTTCTAGGTACCAGAGATATTGCTGCCTGGTTTGTTACAATGCATATTTGAAAAAGAGAGGGGCCCTATAACTCAATTTAATAAGCAGTTTCATTTAGTTAACCCTCCTTAAGAAATCTCATTCTGCCAGGTGTGTGGCACATGCCCATAATCCCAGTGCTCTGGGAGGCTGAAGCAGGAGGATCACAAGTTGGAGCACAGCCTGGGCAACTTAGCCAGACTTTGTCTCAAAATATAATCCAAAATAATTTTAAAAGGGTTGTGGTTGTAGCTCAGTGTGAAGGTCCTGGGTTTAGTCACCAGTACTGCAAAACAAACAAAACTAAACCTCTCACACCACAAGTACTTAAAGTCCAAAGCCCACTCCAAGATTTCTGTGAATTACGTAGGATCATTTTTCTATGTTCTGTTGTCACCATCGTGGCCCAGTGTAGGAATGTCATCATTCCCGTGCCTGGTTTCTGTTTTGCACATGTTGACCCACCTGTAGAACCTTCCTCAGTATTCACAAACACTCATGGGAATAATAATGTTTTAGCAAACTTGACTGAGGTTTTAGGGAAGTGGAGGAATTTCATTTACTGGGAAGAACTGCAGCACAGCTACATCAACGGAACAAAAATAACTGCAGGAGCCAGATGTCATGGTGCACTCCTGTAACTGCAGTCCTTTGGGAGGCTCAGACAGGAGGATTGCAAGTTTGAGCCCAGCCTGGGCAACTTAGTGACTTACCAAGATCCTGTCTCAAAAAATAAAGAGTTGGGGATGTAGCTCAGCGTGAGGGCCTTGGTTCAGTCCCCAGTACTGAGAAAACACGCAAAAGTAAACTGTAGGTAAATATTAAGGAGTCCTATTTATTGAAATCTTTCTGAGACCCCATCATCAGAGAATTTTTATTAATTCAGTCCAATGTCTCCTCTCTTCCTCCTTCACTTCGCATTCCTGCCCTCTTCTCTTATTGTCAGAGCACTCCAAACTCTTGTCCTCTTTCTTTGATACCTATACCAAACTCAGCTCTAGGTGTTTTTGTTTTTTTGCAGACCCAAATCTGTAAGGGTGCTCAACACAGGGGGAAAAAAAGTTCCTTCCTTAAGACCCATCCTCAAAAGACAATTTTTTCCTTAGTTGCGAACAATTTACTGGGGTTTAGTTTATTCAGCAGTTCTAGGCATTACAAGGTATTTATTTTATCAGTCTTACATGTTTTGGGGGAAACAGTCTAAATCTTAGCCAGAAAAAGAGATACAATCAGCTTTTGCACGCACTTCATTGTAAGGCAAAGGAAATGAAGGCTCAGTGGAAGAGTGCAGTCTGTGGAGCACTGCAGCGCTGGGCACTATTTATTCCTCACAAGCTAACAAGCACCTGCTAGCACGCATTTCCCTTGTGAGTCACACCCGTGAGGCGCCCAGGCTGCTGGGGACTCAGTGACCACGGCCAACCGCTCCACCCTCAGCAACTTTGCGTTTACAGAAACCCAGAGCACCCAATCTCTCTTCTCTACAGGAGGACATAGCTCAGACCTCTTGCTCTGCTTTTGCAGGAAGAGGCTTTCACGTGATCTCGCGTGTACTTTATGATCATGCCTGTTTTCTTTGGCCAAAGGCTTGGGTCTGGAGCATGTTTAACTAAAATATGAGGGGACTCGAATTCTCTTTCTAGTTTTTTTAATTTCTGAAACGAAGCGAAAAATACACTTTTGAAAAAGAGCAGAGGGGCCTACAATTCAAAAAGCACAGGCTCCTCGAGATATTCCAGCCCGACAGGACCTGATTCCACGAATACTGAAGCTGCAAGGCCCCAGATGCGGCGCGACACCAGGCGGACTCAGCTGCGCCTAGAAAGACTGAGCTCAGGGGTTTGGGCGAGGGATCAGCCGGGAGTCTCCACTCAGGTTCGCAGAGCCCACCTGCGAAGCCGAGCCGGAAAATGTTCACTCCTCCCGCGCATGCCTCACGGAGAGGGGCGGGGAGGGGCGGAGCCAGGGCACGCACATGAAATCACCGCCCCGCCGTGACGTCTAGATACGCGACGCGTCGCCACGCAATGAAAATCGGGAAAAGGGGCCGAGCCGGCTGGCTTCCGTTGAGACGACGACTGCCGCGGCTTCCTCAGGCGGTTGCCGATGGGTCCCAGCCGCGCAGGCCGGCGCTAGCGAGGCGGCCGGCGCACGGTGAGTGCGAGCCCGGCTTCTGGCCCCTCTTCCCGGGGAAGTCGTCCGCAGTAGCCCCGCTGTCCTTTCGCCAGCTGCCGGTCACCAGAGCCCAGCCGTGTCCGCAGAGAGGGGTGGGACAGTCCGGGACGGGCGGCCTGGGGAGCACTAGCCCGTCCTCGGGCTCCCTGCTGCCCACCCAGGGTTGCCCAGAGCAATTGGGTTCTCCGCTTAGAAGGTGGCCTTGACCATTCCTCCTTTCTCCTGGACACCCGGACCCGACTTTGACCTCCTTCGTACTTCCGTTTTCTGGTTTCCTGCCGTCTGTTTATAATCCCAGGCCTCTTAGAGCCCTTCACAGTGTTTCCCCGGTCCCTCAGGCACACTTTCCTTTAGTGAAATTGCTAGAAGGAGTTTAATAAACTCATCGGAGTTAAAACTGATTTCTCCACATAGCTTTTCTCTTCTAAAATGTGCCTTCTGTCCTACAGTTGTGGCACGGACAACTTAACTTCACCTCCCACTGTACCGAGGAAATAAATGATAAGAACCCTGAATTGCAGTGATGAGTATTTATACCCACAACTGCCGACCACACACTTGGGTTTATTTCTTGCCGCTAGTTTATCCTGTGACCTTGAGCTAAAGCCACTTAATCGGGGTATTTACCTGACTCAAATGTTGCGGAGCCTAAGGAATTTAGTATTTCTTAAGAGCTGTAAGTTTCAAGTGAAAAGGAATGCCTTCCTAAAGGATGTTGCTTATTTTTGCGCCTGCCCAGCATCCTTAGTTTTATATATATCCTGCTGCATTAAAAATGCCAAGTGATATTTGTTAAGAAGTGTTCCTTAAAAAAAAAAAGAAAGAAAGAAAGAAAGAAAGAAATGCCCCTGTTGTAGGCTTGCTGTGCGGCTTTGCTGCATGAGCAGATTTTTGCCTTAAAGCTGATCTGTTTAGGGTTCATTGTTGTGTCATTCGCAATAGGTTTGCATAGTTTCTCGTTAAGGTGGAGTGTCAGGAAGGTGATGTTGGATTCTGGTACGCCTTTATCATGTTGGTGTGACAGTTTGAAATATGTATTCCTATAGTGCCACATAAGGTACAAAATTAGATCGTAATAGTAAAAAACCACGTCAGTGAAATTTTATACATAGACATGTATTCTTTGAGAAAACAGTGCATAAAATAAACTAAAATATTTTAAGATGTCTTTTTAGCATTTCATTAAAAAATATATTTACTTGAATTTTTCTAATCCTTATGGGCATTTGTTTATTGATGTGAACCATAATGGAAAGGAACCACAAAATATGTGGCTTGGTAAAGTAGGACATTTAGGGAAAATAAAATGAATGCATCAAACTTTTAAAATAAAATGTAGACTATTGTATTTTATTATGAAGTTCTAATGGGAGTGCATTCATTTTTTGTAGAAATTAAGAGAAAAAGGGTTATTCAAATATGTTGCTAATTAAATTACATATAATTAACGAAGCTTTTTTTTTTTTTTAAACTTCGGTGTTTGTTTTGAGACAGGTGTATAGTTCAGGCTGGTGAGCTCACCATGTAGCCCAGGCTGACCTCAAACTCATGGCCATCCTCCTGCCTCAGCCTCCTGAGTGCTGGGATAACAGGTGTGTGCAACCATGCCTGGCTTTAAGGAAGCAATTTTTTTTTGGTGCAGGGGATCGAACTCAGGACCTTGCACTTTCGAGGCAGGTGCCGGAACCACTGAGCTAAATCCCCGGCCCTAAGGAAGCGTTTTTAAAAATACTGAATGTCCCAACTACTCAGGAGGCTGTAGGAGGATCACTTAAGCCCAAGAATTTGAGGCCAGCCTGGGCAACATAGTGAAGACCTGTTTCTGAAAAACAGAGGGACAGAAATGTTTCTATTATCTCAGTTACCTACTGTTGCATACATAGCAATCACTCCAAAAAACTAGCTTAAAATAACAATTAGTGTTTGGGCTGACCTGATTTAACTAGGTGGTTCTCTGTTTGGGTTTCACACATTTGTATTCAGATAAGCAGCTGAGGTGAGAGTTCTCTGAAGGCTCAACCTGGTGGGCGTTGATGTTGGCTGGGAGTTCAGCTGAGGATGACACACGTGGCCTCTTGATGTGGCTTGGATGCACCACGGCATGGTTGCTGGGGTTCAGTAATACATGTTTGAAAATGCAGAAAGTGGAAGCTGCCAGACTCTTAAGTGCTTGGACCTAGAAATTGGCACATTATTTCCAACACACTTGCTTAGAGCAAGCAGAAAGCCCTCCCTCCAGATAATAAACTCCTGGGTTTTTTTCCATGCTAGAGAACCCAGGGCTTTGAGCTGTACCCCAACCCAACTTCTACCTACCTTTTAAAGCAAAAAATGTCAAAGAATTTGTGGCCATCTTTTGTTTACTATAATTTTGATGTCAAAGTATTGTTGGACCCGTGTTTGGATTTATAGAGTAAAGGCAGAATAAGGTACACTTCTAGTGTCTTTATAACTTTATATCTTTATGGCATATTACAATTTGCAGAGCATTTTGTGTGTGTGTGTGTGTGTGTATATAAATATATATATATATATGGTTTTTTTTTTTTCGTTTGGTACGGGGGATCGAACTCGGATCCTTGTGCTTGCGAGGCAGGCGGCAGAACCACTGAGCTAAATCCCCGGCCCTTTTGTATATATTTTTTCACTTGATCTATACAGTAACTAGAAGCAGAGGGATCATCACGTTTCATTTTGCAGATGAAGGTAAACTGAGAAATGGCAGCAGTGTAGTTGTTGGGAGAATTTAAGGAATTTGCTCAACATCATATGATTAATAAATAGAAAATAAGACTAAGAGCTACAACATTTCTGATACTAAATTTGTTAGTAGTAAATTATGAAATATATTTAACTTGTTTGGAATTCTGTATTTATAACCATCCTAATTCACGTAAAACAGTACTTATGTGTAGTAATAGTCATTGAGATAACTAAGCTTGTCTCTTGACTAGCACATTACAATTTAGTTTTTCATACCACTAAACTGATGCATACCAATAATGATGTAAATGCATATTTTTCTAATAAATTGAGATGAAATTATTATGGGTTATAATGCCAGTTTCAAAATAAAATAGTCATGGAAAAAAGTTACAGGCACAGAAATTTTTTTTTTTTTGGTACCTGGGATCGAACTTGGTACCTTGCACTTGTGAGGCAGGCGGCGGCACCACTGAGCTAAATCCCTGGCCCTGGAGGTCTTATTTTAATTTCTCAGTTGCACAATTTTTAAACAAAAATTATTTCTCTTAATTTGGTAGCTTGGGGATTATACGGTTTACAATGCTGATTTTAGCTGGGAACAATTGTCTTCATATTTTATTGCTTCTGGCAACATATGTTCTCCATGTCTATAGTTCTGTCTTGACTGTGTGTTAGAATACACCTGGGGAACTTTTTTAAAAACACTGTGTGAGCCAGGGTGGGGGCACACACCTGCAATCCCAGTGCTCTGGGGCCTGAGGCAGGGAGATCCCAAGTTGGAGCCCAGCTTGGGCAACTTAGCGACTTAGCAAGACCCTGTCTGAAAATTTTAAAAAATAGGGCTGGGAATGTAGATCAGTGCGAAGGTTCTGAGTTCAGTCCCTAGTATTAAAAAAAACCCCCCAAGATTCTGATTTAACTGTTGAAGAGTGGAATTTGGGCATTCGTATTTTGAAAAAGTTCTCTAAGTGATTCTAATATGTAGCTAGGATTGAGAACTATATCTTGTTTTTTGGAGACAGGTCTTGCTAAGTTGCTCAGTTGCCCAGGCTGAGCTCCAACTTGTGATCCTCCTGCCTCAGCCTCCCAGAGTGCTGGGATTGCAGGTGTGCACCCCCATGTCCACTTGAGAGCCATGTCCATATCGTAAGTAGGATGGTCCGGTTCTTTGGTTATCTGTTTTACAATTACTAAAAAATAATGAGGAGCAGATAAAATACATGGATTAAAGCTGTAAGTGTAGCTAAACCTCTAGAAGTCTTGTTTGTTCTAGGAATGGTCCCTCTTAATCAGATGAACAGATTCTGGCAGGATTTGCTGGTTCCTGTGTTACTGCACCCAGCATACTTTCTGTTAACATTGTGTACTTGTCTTTCTGGAGTGAGTTAGAAACTTGTACTGTGTAAGTAGTGAATTCTGAGTGTTTACCAACTCCAGCAGGTTTCCAGTCACTCTTCTGAGCTGGGCCTCGCTGTTTTACTGATTTATTTTTTCTCCCTTAGCATTCTGAGAACTTTGTAAAAGTTCCTTGTAGTTTGTTTGCTTGGTTTCCATGATATTACACTTTTCTGCTTTTCCTTTTCTGCATCTTTATTCCGTAGCCCCCCCCCCCCCAAATCCAGGTCCTTCCACTAAGTGGTCAGCTGTGGAGAAACGAGCTCATTTCCTTGGTGATCCTATTCTTCATTACTGGTATATATAATAATCTTGTGTTTTATCGATTTTTAAAATGTATTTATTGATTTTATTATTTGCATCTTTTGAGGGACAGGTCTCCACCCAAAGCTGGCCTGGAATTCATAGGCTCAAATGATTCTCCTGCCTCAGCCTCTCAAGTAGCTAGGACTACAAGTGTGTAACACTGTGGCTGTCTGGCTGATGTCTGTTTAAAAAGTATTGAGGAAAAATAGTATTGAGGAAGTTTTAAAATATACTAATAAAATTAAAGAAAATAGAATTATTCAGAATCAAATCTGAGATAATATTTTAGTGTCAAAGTTCATTGTCTCTCAAACAACGAGGATTGTAAAGGTTAACATGAATGCCCAAATAGTTGACACACGGATTTAGCACCTGGTCTCTCCACTGATGTTGTGTACATATTTACATTTCTGACGGCATCTTTCTTATTTTCCACTCAACATATTCAGGATTGAGTTCCCTACTTTCCTGGAAGGGGTCTGATCTGGGGGGTGATTGTGGCCCTGGGCACCAGGATGGAGCCAGTTTCTGTCTCTCTTTCATCACTTCCACATAATTACCATTTGGTCCAC